AAACCTATTATCAATTCAAGGAAGTGAATTTTTAAGTAGTTATCTGCAGTTTTAATGTAGATTTCAGTTCGCTAACTTATGAAAATGCATGTTTTGGCTATAATCTTCCGTAAATCAAGGGCGAAAACCAATTATTTGTCCCAAAAGAAGGTGTTTTAAGTATATATCTGCATTTCTAAGGTAGATTTGGGTACAATAAGAGGCGAAAAAGCAGATTCTGACTAAGATTTTATCGAAATCGGCAACTATTTGACTCAGAATGGTTGCCTTACGTCGAAATCTAATAGTTTATTAAGGTTTTCGTTACTAAAATGCCCAAAGACGCCGATTTTGACTAGAATTTGAAAGATATTGACATGAATATATAACTGTTTGTATCAAAAAATGATAGTTTAAACTGATATTTGCAGTTTTGATGCGGTTTTAGGTACGATATGAGTCGAAGAAGCCGATTTTGACTGGAATCTGTTTAAAATGACAAAGAAAAACCTATTATCAATTCAAGGAAGTGAATTTTTAAGTAGTTATCTGCAGTTTTAATATAGATTTCAGTTCGCTAAGTTATGAAAATGCATGTTTTGCCTATAATCTTCCGTAAATCATGGGCGAAAACCAATTATTTGTCCCAAAAGAAGGTGTTTTAAGTACATAAGAGGCGAAAAAGCAGATTCTGACTAAGATTTTATCGAAATCGGCAACTATTTGACTCAGAATGGTTGCCTTACGTCGAAATCTAATAGTTTATTAAGGTTTTCATTACTAAAATGCCCAAAGACGCCGATTTTGACTAGAATTTGAAAGATATTGACATGAATATATAACTGTTTGTATCAAAAAATGATAGTTTAAACTGATATTTGCAGTTTTGATGCGGTTTTAGATACGATATGAATCGAAGAAGCCGATTTTGTCTGGAATCTGTTTAAAATGACAAAGAAAAACCTATTATCAATTCAAGGAAGTGAATTTTTAAGTAGTTATCTGCAGTTTTAATGTAGATTTCAGTTCGCTAAGTTATGAAAATGCATGTTTTGGCTATTATCTTCCGTAAATCAAGGGCGAAAACCAATTATTTGTCCCAAAAGAAGGTGTTTTAAGTATATATCTGCATTTCTAAGGTAGATTTGGGTACAATAAGAGGCGAAAAAGCAGATTCTGACTAAGATTTTATCGAAATCGGCAACTATTTGACTCAGAAAGGTTGCCTTACGTCGAAATCTAATAGTTTATTAAGGTTTTCGTTAATAAAATGCCCAAAGACGCCGATTTTGACTAGAATTTGAGAGATATTGACATGAATATATAACTGTTTGTATCAAAAAATGATAGTTTAAACTGATATTTGCAGTTTTGATGCGGTTTTAGATACGATATGAATCGAAGAAGCCGATTTTGACTGGAATCTGTTTAAAATGACAAAGAAAAACCTATTATCAATTCAAGGAAGTGAATTTTTAAGTAGTTATCTGCAGTTTTAATGTAGATTTCAGTTCGCTAAGTTATGAAAATGCATGTTTTGGCTATAATCTTCCGTAAATCAAGGGCGAAAACCAATTATTTGTCCCAAAAGAAGGTGTTTTAAGTATATATCTGCATTTCTAAGGTAGATTTGGGTACAATAAGAGGCGAAAAAGCAGATTCTGACTAAGATTTTATCGAAATCGGGAACTATTAGACTCAGAATGGTTGCCTTACGTCGAAATCTAATAGTTTATTAAGGTTTTCGTTACTAAAATGCCCAAAGACGCCGATTTTGACTAGAATTTGAAAGATATTCAGAGTTCAAGTTTTAAATTTTAAATCGAGGTAGGCTCGCAATACTCTATACGATGCCGGCGGGGGTACCAAAATCAAGAAAATGGGGAAACCGATACCGGATTCCCGTAAAATGGGGTGGTAAAGCGTCCCTATAAGGGCAAAAAATTACTCCGTTTTCCCAAAAAACGAATCGTTTTCGAGTTATGGCCATTTTAAAATCGAAAAAAAAAAAAACGAAAAAGGGCCGTATCTCGGTAACGGTGCGTCGGAGGCGAAAAATAAGCGAATTTTCGTACCGAGCTCAATATAATGCGCGTAGAGTGGTGCGGATTCGTAACCGCTATAGCCTGGTAGGTTTCCGACGTTCCTCCTATCCATTCAAGTTTTAAATTTTAAATCGAGGTAGGCTCGCAATACTCTATACGATGCCGGCGGGGGTACCAAAATCAAGAAAATGGGGAAACCGATACCGGATTTCCGTAAAATGTGGTGGTAAAGCGTCCCCTATGGGGCAAAAAATTGCTCGGTTTTCTCAAAAAACGAACCGTTTTCGAGATATAGCCATTTTAAAATCGAAAAAAAATTTCGAGAAAGGGCCGTATCTCGGTAAGGGTGCGTCGGAGGCGAAAAATAAGCGAATTTTCGTACCGAGCTCTATATAACGCGCGTAGAGTGGTGCGGATTCGTAACCACTATAGCCTGGTAGGTTTCCGACGTTCCTCATATCCATTCAAGTTTTAAATTTTAAATCGAGGTAGGCTCAATAGGCTCAAAGTACAATAAGAGGCGAAAAAGCAGATTCTGACTAAGATTTTATCGAAATCGGCAACTATTTGACTCAGAATGGTTGCCTTACGTCGAAATCTAATAGTTTATTAAGGTTTTCGTTACTAAAATGCCCAAAGACGCCGATTTTGACTAGAATTTGAAAGATATTGACATGAATATATAACTGTTTGTATCAAAAAATGATAGTTTAAACTGATATTTGCAGTTTTGATGCGGTTTTAGGTACGATATGAGTCGAAGAAGCCGATTTTGACTGGAATCTGTTTAAAATGACAAAGAAAAACCTATTATCAATTCAAGGAAGTGAATTTTTAAGTAGTTATCTGCAGTTTTAATGTAGATTTCAGTTCGCTAAGTTATGAAAACGCATGTTTTGGCTATAATCTTCCGTAAATCAAGGGCGAAAACCAATTATTTGTCCCAAAAGAAGGTGTTTTAAGTATATATCTGCATTTCTAAGGTAGATTTGGGTACAATAAGAGGCGAAAAAGCAGATTCTGACTAAGATTTTATCGAAATCGGCAACTATTTGACTCAGAATGGTTGCCTTACGTCGAAATCTAATAGTTTATTAAGGTTTTCGTTACTAAAATGCCCAAAGACGCCGATTTTGACTAGAATTTGAAAGATATTGACATGAATATATAACTGTTTGTATCAAAAAATGATAGTTTAAACTGATATTTGCAGTTTTGATGCGGTTTTAGATACGATATGAATCGAAGAAGCCGATTTTGTCTGGAATCTGTTTAAAATGACAAAGAAAAACCTATTATCAATTCAAGGAAGTGAATTTTTAAGTAGTTATCTGCAGTTTTAATGTAGATTTCAGTTCGCTAAGTTATGAAAATGCATGTTTTGGCTATAATCTTCCGTAAATCAAGGGCGAAAACCAATTATTTGTCCCAAAAGAAGGTGTTTTAAGTATATATCTGCATTTCTAAGGTAGATTTGGGTACAATAAGAGGCGAAAAAACAGATTCTGACTAAGATTTTATCGAAATCGGCAACTATTTGACTCAGAAAGGTTGCCTTACGTCGAAATCTAATAGTTTATTAAGGTTTTCGTTACTAAAATGCCCAAAGACGCCGATTTTGACTAGAATTTGAGAGATATTGACATGAATATATAACTGTTTGTATCAAAAAATGATAGTTTAAACTGATATTTGCAGTTTTGATGCGGTTTTAGATACGATATGAATCGAAGAAGCCGATTTTGACTGGAATCTGTTTAAAATGACAAAGAAAAACCTATTATCAATTCAAGGAAGTGAATTTTTAAGTAGTTATCTGCAGTTTTAATGTAGATTTCAGTTCGCTAAGTTATGAAAATGCATGTTTTGGCTATAATCTTCCGTAAATCAAGGGCGAAAACCAATTATTTGTCCCAAAAGAAGGTGTTTTAAGTATATATCTGCATTTCTAAGGTAGATTTGGGTACAATAAGAGGCGAAAAAGCAGATTCTGACTAAGATTTTATCGAAATCGGCAACTATTTGACTCAGAATGGTTGCCTTACGTCGAAATCTAATAGTTTATTAAGGTTTTCGTTACTAAAATGCCCAAAGACGCTGATTTTGACTAGAATTTGAATGATATTGACATGAATATATAACTGTTTGTATCAAAAAATGATAGTTTAAACTGATATTTGCAGTTTTGATGCGGTTTTAGGTACGATATGAGTCGAATAAGCCGATTTTGACTGGAATCTGTTTAAAATGACAAAGAAAAACCTATTATCAATTCAAGGAAGTGAATTTTCAAAACTGCAAATATCAGTTTAAACTATCATTTTTTGATACAAACAGTTATACATTCATGTCAATATCTTTTAAATTCTAGTCAAAATCGGCGTCTTTGGGCATTTTAGTAACGAAAACCTTAATAAACTATTAGATTTCGACGTAAGGCAACCATTCTGAGTCTAATAGTTGCCGATTTCGATAAAATCTTAGTCAGAATCTGCTTTTTCGGCTCTTATTGTACCCAAATCTACCTTAGAAATGCAGATATATACTTAAAACACCTTCTTTTGGGACAAATAATTGGTTTTCGCCCTTGATTTACGGAAGATTATAGCCAAAACATGCATTTTCATAACTTAGCGAACTGAAATCTACATTAAAACTGCAGATAACTACTTAAAAATTCACTTCCTTGAATTGATAATAGGTTTTTCTTTGTCATTTTAAACAGATTCCAGTCAAAATCGGCTTCTTCGATTCATATCGTATCTAAAACCGCATCAAAACTGCAGTTCGCTAAGTTATGAAAATGCATGTTTTGGCTATAATCTTCCGTAAATCAAGGGCGAAAACCAATTATTTGTCCCAAAAGAAGGTGTTCTGAGTATATATCTGCATTTCTAAGGTAGATTTGGGTACAATAAATGTATTTTGATCGCAATAGGCGCGAGATTTTACGTGAAACTGACGATATTGCATTACCTGAAGTGATGTTGTGCCCGCCCACTAAAACCGAAAACGTGTTGCGATCTCTATTGTAGACGCAATGACCGGCGGTCAACACGAAAAATTCAGAGATTATGCTAGCCCCGCAAATTATGATGAAAGGGTTCAGATTTACCAGCCCCGCCATCGAAGGGTACTCGTTGACGCCCGTTTCTTGTCCTCCAAGGATTGTAGCCTAAAAAACGTACGTTTTGCCATGTGAAATTCGAAATTTCATCGGCATGGCCTACAATAAATTCAATGAAATATAAAACGTTTCAAGAACGGCGGGAAGAAGTGCAATTTAATTTTGCTGCTGGAAAAGCTATTCGGAAGAATGTGAACCAATCAGTAATGGCATTTAAATTTAAACAGCTATATTTCAATCCAAAGAAGATTGTTGCGTAAAAATTGAACAGGTGTTTGGCAGGGTAATTCATTTTATTATTCAAAATAAAACAATCAACCTTAATTACTTTTTCAAAAATAGAAGTGTTTTCTAAAGTTGCAGCTATATATACGTTCTTTTCCTACTTTAGTTTGCAAAATAGAAAGTGCGTTAAATAAGTCTTTAATTTTATTTATAATAGGGTCAATAATTTTTAATTTTGAGAAACTCGAATTTTCGAAATCTTGTAAAATTATTAGAACTTCATATTTGTTAATGACCTATACCAATACATCTTTATTAAACATTGAAATCTCTCTATAAGCTGATTTTTAAACATTTAGACCTATTTGATTAATTTCCTATTCTAGTTATTTGTCATTTTGACACACTTGTTGGAAGGTTTGGTTAAATTTCTCAAGAAAGATAAGAGCTAAAGAATTAAGGAAGCGGCGTAAACATCTAATCGTTTTGCTGTCAGCTAGAAACAAATAATAGACCGGTATATACGGGTTACAAATAAAATTTATTGATTTATTGATTATATATTTACGTCTCAGTATAAATTCATAGAGTCAAAAAGACGATGCCTGATTGACATAATTTTTTCAATACCTTCTCTTTTGTTCAGGAAATTTAGAAAATCCGAAAATTCTTCTACTTGAAAATCCATGTATTTGTCCCTGCCGGTGAAACGAGCACCAGTGTTGTAAATTTTAAACAGCATGTTTTCCTTGATCCTAATAACGCCAGTAGACATTTCCTTTTTTTTGCTGAGTTGAGTACACTTTTTGAGTCACGGTTGATTTAGGAGTTTTGGACTATACGCCAAAAATTTATACAGATCGATCCCTTCTTGCGAAGGTGTACCCGTCACTAGACACAGTAGAATTAATACTTTTTGGAATTATCGCTGCGGTAGCTGCTACTATTGAAAGCAATCTTTGCCATTCGCCGAGATAATGGGATACAGCCAACTCCATTCTTCCGACCAAACGTCATTTTTAAAACAAACGTACACTGTTAATAAAACATTTTGAGCACTTAACTGAGACGATTTAATTTAATGTTCTTATTTTTATAACACTAAATCAAAGCGGACATTTATTTTGTGGAGGCAGGTTTAAATTGTTTTCCTGCTTATTAAATAACCTATGCCACATAACCAGCGAGTCGTATGATATCACGCCCGAAGTTCATCAACGTTGCTTATTTGCTCGCTTTGCGTTAGTCTGTTTTACATATGCCGGTCGACATAAAATTGCAAATTTTGAAAGCATACCTTTTTATTGTTTTTTCATATAGGAATTTGAGCACATAATCAATGAAATAATAATACAGATTTTCGTAAGGCACACAGGTGTAATCTACCGTTCATATGGAAGGTGCACACATATTAACAATCAAAGGTCGGGATACCTGTAGTTGTTCGATCTTCGAAGTCAAAAATCTGTTTTTGCTTGCCCTTTTAGGTGCACAGTGTGAACCAACCGCGTAATCAATTCGTCGATAAGGTTTATAATCTATAAGGTATTTTAATCCGTGGTGAAAACGCTTGAGCCAAGGTACGCAATATACGCTTCGCTCTCTGCGGCTTGTAAGTAAGTAAGTAGATTTCCGTCATAAATTGCAATCTCTTTAGCGACGAAACCTACAGCGTCCTTTAGATTAAAACCTTGAATATCTAACGCCACTATCCGCGTGATGACAACCGCCAAAAATGTACTGTTTCGCCGAATATTTTGTGGCAAATTTTTTGAACATATAATTTGCCAATCTTTTTAAAAACCGTTGAATTTGTTTTACTATTTCAGTTAGCGGATTCTAACTAAATACTTCGTCATGTAAAATGAGACAGTAAACCGATGTATCCTTTTGGATATTAGCGCTAGTTTCAAATTCAATTCGCATTACTACAAAACCATTTTGATGAGAACCATCGATGTGTGTAATGGGACATTTTTCTTTGCTACGTGTGAAAATTGCCTCGTTCGATGTTCCGTAATAAGAGTGCCAAAAATTAGCAACCATATCAACTAGAGTCGAATACTTGTTTTTTCTTTTAAAATGGTTCCGAATTTAAAAATACTTTTATATTAGTTAAATTGACGTCATCAATTTTTTTTCTACTTTTCTACTTGGATAATGATTTGCGTCTGTAGTTTATTTTTTGTTTCTACGGACCACGTACGAGTTGTGGTTTCAATAATTTCCCAAGATCCATTGTTATCTCTTTATTAGACTCCATGATTTTCGTTAGAGCAAGTTCTTCGGCATTATTTGTCATAAATTTTGGAATTTTCCACCGCGTCTAAATCGTTACTGGTTCGTATTAAAGCCGGGTAGTGGATATTATGAATCTATCACTGATAAATGCCCGCATTTGTAAGAACTGGACTTTTGTTTGGTTGAATAATTGTAATATATGAAGAAAGCCTTAGTTTTGTATTTTATATAGCTCACCCAATCAATTCCCCGTTCAGTTAAAAAAAATTCCGCATTCTTTAATTTGATTTTTTTGCTGCAGATTATCACGCATAAAAACGCCTCTGAAATGCTGAATTTTCTCCAAACGAAGAGTGCTTTTGCTTTATTCCTTTGCCAAGTCTTATCCTTTAAGATCTTGTGTGGTTCGTGTCTCCTCGTTAAATCGTTAGACTGAGAATATGCTATATCGTGCTCTTTACAAGCAGCTTCTATGGTATTTATACCAGAATCACCTTTATTTATTCTTTTTTGTAAATGGGTACCCAATTCGCTGAATAGGCGACCACTATTACTATGCAGTCCGATAGTAAGTTTGTTTATAAGTTTATTTACCAATCCTGAACCTTTCGACCCGTTTCGATGTACAATAATCAGAGTGTTAGGAAATAGTGTTTCTAAATATTTAGGTATTATGCTATAAATACTTTTGCAGGTTCCTGTTAATGTCTCAGTCGAAATGTGAGTAAAAAAGCAAGCCTTTTCTTTGCCCGTAAAAAACGACGATGCAAAGAGTTCGAGCTGCGAATTTCAAAAGCACCCCCATCACTTTAGAGGTAATTGCAACAGGGCACTTAAATTCGGGTAAAACCAACGTCATATTTGGCCGAACATCCTGGAATGCAAATAGATTTGAAAACATTGACTTATATTCCAAATCCCCGTAACAGCCAAAATACGTGTATTAATACGTAATACGTATATTGGCTCAAGTACACATTAAGCACAGGAAGCTTGGTTACGATCGATCGTTTACAAATAGCTCTTGCAAACAAATGTATCTATAATTGGGTACTTTATCTCTACCCTAACTGAGCTCTTTAATTTATATTGATATTTAAATTGAAATTTGTATTTAATAGGTATAAAATTAACCGAAACGTAAATAGAGGCTTATCTGTGATCCTCCAGTTACCAATTATGGGGATTGAGTGCATAAATTTATAACAATATAATGCCCTTATATTTCAAAGCATGGCACATCACCAGAAATGGTTCTACTTTCAAACAGATTTAGCCTTGGTCTGTCCGTTAAAGCGTCTGTCTAGAAATCAGATTCTCCAAGGCAGCGTAGGTTCGAAACCTACCTACTGCAAATGGCCATTGTTTTGCTTGAAATATATATTTTTTAATTAACAGCTCAGCCCAGAAATTTTTCTCAAATATTTGAATTGAGTACATAAATTTATAAAAATATAATGGACTTATATTTCAACGCATGGCACATCACCAGAAATAGTTCTACTTTCAAACAGATTTAGCCCTGGTCTGTCGGTTAAGCCGTCTGACTAGAAATCAGATTCTCTATGGCAGCGTAGTTTCGAAACCCACCTACTACAAACGGCCATTGTTTTGCTTGAAATATATAATTTTTAATTAACAGCTCAGAACAGAAATTTTTCTTAAATATGGGGATTGAGTACATAAATTTATAAAAATATAATTTACTTATATTTCAACGCATGGCACATCACCAGAAATAGTTCGACTTTTAAACAGATTTAGCCTTGGTCTGCCTGTTAAGGCGTCTGACTAGAAATCAGATTCTCTATCAGCATCGGTTCGAAACCTACCTACTGCAAACGACTATTGTTTTGCTTGAAATATAATTTTCGTAAATAGCAGCTTATCCCAGAAAATTTTGTCAATTATTTGGATTGAGTTCATAAATTTAAAATAATATAATGCCCTTATACTTCAAATGGCACATCACCAGAAATAGTTCTACTTTCAAACAGATTTAGCCCTGGTCTGTCGGTTATGGCGTCTGACTAGAAATCAGATTCTCTATTGCAGCGTAGGTTCGAAACCTACCTGCTGCAAACGAACATTGTTTTGCTTGAAATATAATTTTTGTAATTAGCAGCTCAGCCAAGAAAATTTTGTCAATTATCGGGATTGAGTGCATAAATTTATAACAATGTAATGCCCTTATATTTCGAATTTCACATCACCAGAAATAGTTCTACTTTCAAACAGGTTTAGCCCTGGTCTGTCGGTTAAGGCGTCTAACTAGAAATCAGATTCTCTATGGCAGCGTAGGTTCGAAACCTACCTGCTCCAAACGACCATTGTTTTGCTTGAAATATAATTTTTGTAATTAGCAGCTCAGCCAAGAAAATTTTGTCAATTATGAGGATTTAGTGCATAAATTTATAACAACATAATGCCCTTATCTTTCAAATAGCACATCACCAGAAATAGTTCTACTTTAAAACAGATTTAGCCCTGGTCTGTCGGTTAAGGCGCTTGACTGGAAATCAGATTCACTATGGCAGCGTATGTTCGAAACCTACCTACTGCAAACGGAAATTGTTTTGCTTGAAATATATAACTTTTAATTAACAGCTCAGAACAGAAATTTTTCTTAAATATGGGGATTGAGTACATAAATTTATAAAAATATAATTTACTTATATTTCAACGCATGGCACATCACCAGAAATAGTTCGACTTTCAAACACATTTAGCCTTATTCTGTCGGTTAAGGCGTCTGACTAGAAATCAGATTCTCTATGGCAGCGTAGGTTCGAAACCCACCTACTGCAAGCGGCCATTGTTTTGCTTGAAATATATAACTTTTAATTAACAGCTCAGAACAGAAATTTTTCTTAAATATGGGGATTGAGTACATAAATTTATAAAAATATAATTTACTTATATTTCAACGCATGGCACATCACCAGAAATAGTTCGAATTTCAAACAGATTTAGCCTTGTTCTGTCGGTTAAGGCGTCTGACTTGAAATCAGATTCTCTATGGTAGCGTAGGTTCGAAACCTACCCACTGCAAACGGCCATTGTTTTGCTTGAAATATATATTTTTTAATTAACAGCTCAGCCCAGAAATTTTTCTCAAATATGGGGATTGACTACATAAATTTAAAAATATATAATGGCCTTATATTTCAACGCATGGCACATCACCAGAAATAGTTCGACTTTCAAACAGATTTAGCCTTGGTCTGTCGGTTAAGGCGTCTGACTAGAAATCAGATTCTCTATGGCAGCGTAGGTTCGAAACCTACCTACTGCTAACGGCCATTGTTTTGCTTGAAATATATAATTTTTAGTTAACAGCTCAGCCCAGAAATTTTTCTCAAATATGGGAATTGATTACATAAATTTAAAAAAATATAACGGCCTTATATTTCAACGCATGGCACATCACCAGAAATAGTTCGACTGTCAAACAGATTTAGCCTTGGTCTGTCGGATAAGGCGTATGACTAGAAATCAGATTCTCTATCAGCATAGGTTCGAAACCTACCTACT